TTTTTTTTGGTTTTTTTTTTTTTTTTTTTTGTCAAAATTGAAAAAAATAGATATTTGAACCACGTAAACCTACCAAAAAGTGAGGAAAAGCCATAATAATAATTAGAACGGCAATGACAATTTTTTTTATTAATTAGAACCAAGTTTGTAGCATAGGAAATGCAACTGCCGAACTGAAGATCGCTAAAATTAACAAAAATAGGACACAGAATGCATAGTGTAACTTTCTTGTTTGATTCAAACAGCATCCTATGCGGAATAAATTACGGAAAAATTTCATAAAAGCCAAAGCCAAATTCCCAGTTAATTCTTTTGGTTCTTGCCCCTTCGGCATTTCCTATTTTCTTGCATTTTTCATGAATTTTAGCAGCTATACTATGTTCCGGCTATCAGTTTAATGTTCTCGTTTTTGGGTCTGAAGTAAGATAAAAACTGAAGAAAACATTGGTTTAAATGGGCTTATGTTATTCCCTGATTGGTGCCAAAATAGATAATGATAAAGGTAGAAACTTGCATTTGAAGTCGAAGAAGAGTAGCTCCCGTGTCTTAAGAAAGTTAACTGGCGATGGCGACGGCGGCGGCGGCGTTGCTGCAGCTTCGGTGGCTCTGGTTGAGGGGACGCCGCTGTATCCAATTCCGGGGAGGCTTTTTGCAAATGGGGCGAGCCAAATCGCCAGCTTGTACACTCGGCAAGGCCAGAAAGGAATAAATCAAGACTCCATGATTGTCTGGGAGGTCAGTTCAATTTGAAGAAATTTGTATAATTTCAAATTTACCATTCTATTAGACTCTTAATTTTAAAATCCATACATAGTTAATAATTATGATGATTCTGTATCCTAAGTAAGTCAAATTATTGCGTTAAAATATAGTTTTAGGTTATGATTAGTGAAAACTGAAAGAATATGGATGTTCTTGTATTTTTATGACTCGAATTGTTTCCATGGTAGAATTTCTGTACGAGAAGCGATATGAATGCAACTTTTTGCGGGGTGTTTGATGGTCATGGTCCTTACGGTCACATGGTTTCTAGGAAAGTTCGGGATGCTCTACCACTTTTGCTGCGTGCAGAGTGGGAAGCTAAACTCAATATCCATCAAAATTCTGCCCATGAGAATGGAGATGCTGAGCAAAAGAGTCATTTTGACAATTTTCTGGATGATGATCGAGGTGCTGAACTCAATAGCCATAGAAATTCTGTCCATGAGAATGGAGATGCTGATGGAATGAGTCATTTAGACAATTTTGTGGATGATGATGGTGGTGCTAAAGTCAATAGTCATCGCAATTCTGTACACAAGAATGGAGATGCTGAGCGAACGAATCATTTTGACATTTTTGTGGATGATGATGATCTCGATAGCCATCAAAATTCTGTCCGTGAGAATGGAGATGCTGAGAGAATAAGTCATTTTGACAATTCT